AATATATTAAATATTTGTTCATGATTTTTTCTCCCCTTCCTTAAATATACGCATTAATGTAACATAAACTTTCGTTTCAGCAGAAAGTGTGAAAATAAAATATTCTTTAGGCTAAATTTAATTATTAATTATGAAATCTCAGTGCTGACAATATATCTAGGTGTAACAGTTTTTAAGAAAATTACATGCATATCGGTCCTCTATGACTAAAGAGGGCATATATCATTTGATACGGCCAAAAGATGCCTCATCGAAATAACGGTTTTTGACATTAAGTCCCTTCCAACCAAACCAGTTATGGGATATTTGGAGTGGATCTAGAAGTGTCCGCCCGACCGTCCGTCTGTCTGACTGACTGATGCGCACGAAAATTCTCGAAGGGAGTATCCGATTTGATCCAAATATGGTACATCTTAATATTATTGTTGAACATATATCGAGATCAAGTTCCCTACAACGGATCAAAATTTTGAATAATTATAACTTCCATAAAATGAAAAATAAGCGTCCGATTCTCCTCAAATGTCATACATCGCAATATTTCTATCAACACAAGATCTGGAGTGAAGATATATAGATATTGGCCCACCCCTTCTGATGCCTTTCCCACAAAGAGTCGATTTTTAAATATTTATATCTCTTATAACTTGCGAAACAAGTCAGTGATCCTATTCAAACTTGGTATATCTAAATATTTCTCTCAACTAGTCATATCATATCAGTTTTCATTTGAGGTTCGAGGTAGATATTTAATTTTTGGGGAATCAGAATAAGGTATTAAATATATAGCCCTCAAGAACCTATAGTAAATCTGCTACATTTAATCAGAATAAGGTATTAAATATATAGCCCTCAAGAACCTATAGTAAATTTGCTACATTTAATATGTTGGAATGTCAACGTTCGATGGAAACGCAAAAATAACAAGTAAAAAGCTGTAAGTTCGGCCGGGCCGAACTTTTAATACCCTCCACCATTTGGTACAAATTTGGCAATTTCCAAAAAAAAAAAAAAAAACCGTTAAAAATTCTGTTAAAATCTTAAAAATACCGAATGCTTATACGAAGACGTGGGCCTGCATAGGCAACTTTTGTCATAAATTATTACAATATTTAAATGTGAAACATGAAGAAAAATCTGTTTATAACGTAGCTAAAATCATCAATATACCGAATATCGGGAGGTACCGTTATATGGGGTCTATATGATAACTTGGACCTACATGGCCCATTTACGAACTTAACCTGCCTACTGGGAAAATATACATGTGTGCAAAATTTTAGTCTTCTATCTCAATTTGTTCGAAAGATAGCGTGATTACAACAGACAGACAGACAGACGGACAGACACACAGACAGACAGACGGACATGGCGTCTTAGAATTTTACGCTGATCAAGAATATATATACTTTGTTGGGTCTGACATGAATATTTCGAGGAGTTACAAACGGAATGACAAAATTAATATACCCTCCATAGTATGGTGGAGGGTATAATAAATTGAAAATAATATGTAATCTACATAGGGCTACGAATTGCCCTGTTTTAGGCTACTCTATATCTATAAAAGAGAAAAATGTTTGTATGTTTGTTTGTAATGTATGGACACGAAAACCGCTAAACAGATTTTTCTGAAAATTTCCAAGTATGCTACAACATCGCCTGAAGGCAACATATGGTATATAAATTTATGAAATTCCACTTGGAACTGGAGATATAGCATCAGAATCTGAGGTACCCCTCAAAAATTTAGATTTTATATGCACATATCTCTTATAGATTACAGATACACTCTCCAAATTTAGACTGAGTAACGGAATTTGAAAAAAAAAAATAAATTTGCCAAATTATATTGAAATCGGTTCAGATTTGGATATAGCTCCCATATATATTTTTGTCCGATTTTACACAATATAATATATTTCGGCCGATTTCATGTAGGTCATGTGCACCAAACACGATATATGACCGATTCCAATGAATGTGTGGCTTAATTTGGTTACAATAATTAATTTGACAAATCAATTGGAAATCGGTTATGATTTCACACATTTGACACACCAATTTCAATTAAATATGGAAGGACCGAATTTGGTGTTAAAGGGATTTTTTGTCAAATTATATTGAAATCGGTTCAGATTGGGATATAATTTTATTAAGAAGCATTGATCCACAGCGTCTTTACAATAGTATTAGGCTAACATATGTTACAGTAAAAAAACTGCACAACAATTTAATTGAGGATATGATTATTACGGACAACAGAAATGCCACTCTAGATTGCAGTTTTTCTCATGGTCAGCTGTTCCTGTCATGTTCACGAGTTGGTAGACCAAGCTATTTGTTTTATTATTTTTTTTAGCCAACATATATTTGTATATACAATTTTGAATGCATATAAAATCAAAAGGGGTAGCGAACCGCACCGGGTTCTGCTAGTTACTAATATTTGTAAAACATAATTTCAGATTTCAGTAAACTGATATGACTAAGTGTTTTTAGATTAGATTGAAACGACAATTTTGCCTCATGCATAGATAATATCCATTTTGACAATATCCCTTAATGAAATTGTGAAATGTGCCATTTACACAAACATCCCATTTCTGTTATTTTTTTTCTCCGTAATCAATTTGTTATGCTTTGTCCATTCACGCTTTTTGGGATACAATGAAGTGAACCAATCTTCATGAGAATATTATATGTATTGAGAGTTTGAATGTTTTCTATCAAGCTTTTATCAGCAATATCATCTCAAATGTTCTTAAAGTTTTTCTAAATAGTAGCAGTAAATTACAGTTTTGTTCATCCATAGTTGCTGTCAATATAGTTATTTATCTTAAAAAAAAGAAACAAAAAATTCGAAAAATGGAAAACAAAAATGTGGTAAAATGGAGTTCAGGATTTTCAGTTGAGCTCATTTAACCAGACGAAAAAGGGTGAGGAATAAATTCAATAATAGAAAGACGAAGTCTTTTTTTGTCTTGGCTATAAGACATATCTACTTCCGTTGTTATTTTTGGAAAGATAAACCTTCTTAATAAAACGGATAAAGAAAAGACGTTATTTTAATCCCAAAAATCAAGAGTAAAAATGAGATAAAGAGACAAATTTTAAGATTACATTGAAATTACAAATTTTTTTTGATTAAAGTTTGACCGCGGCAATACTGTGATATCCACTTTTATTTCAATATACACATTTTGTTTTAATTTTTTAAGTCAACTATACGAGTTTAAAAGAAACATTCACATTTATACATTTTACATTTAATTCTAACATTTTCCATTTTTTCCTTTTGTGCTTTTTAAAATGTTTTATACCCTCCACCATAGTATGGAGGGTATATTAAGTATGTCATTCCGTTTGAAACACCTCGAAATATACATTTTAGACCCCACAAAGTGTATATATTTTGTGGAAAACACTCTAGCTTCCGAACGAATTGAAGTAGATTGATAAAATTTTGGTCTAAGGTATATTATGTCTTTTGTCTTTAGGCATTGAAAATGGGCCATGTAGGTCCACGTTTTGGTATAGCCCCCATATAATGGTACCCGATATTCGGTATTTTGATGATTTTAGCGACATTATTCACCGGAATTGTTTAAAATTTGGTATTTGACAGAAAATTGTCTGTGCAGGTCCACGTCTTCGTACAGGCCCCACATAACGGCATCTCCCGGTATTCGGTATTTTTCTGATTTTAGCGACATTATTCATCGGAATTGTTTCAAATTTGGTGTTTGAGGTTCGTAATGAATACTCAGCCTAAAACAGAAAATTGCAATTGCCGGTCCACATCTTCGTATAGCCTCCCGGTACCTCCCGGTATTCCGTATTTTGATGATATTAGTGATATTATTCACCAGCATCTTTTTTCAAATTTGGTATTTGAAATTCGTAGTAGATACTACAGCCTATGACAAAAAAATTATAGCTACATTATAACAGCTTTTTTTCAAGTTTCGCGTTTGTATATTGTATTAGCTTATTACAAAAGTTGCATATACAGGTCCACGTCCTCGTATAGACCCTAATATACAGCTACATTCAGTATTTTGAATATTTTAACAGAATTTTTAACGGGTTTTATTTTTTTGAAATTTACAAAATCTGTTCCAAATGGTGGATGGTATTCAAAGTTCGGCCCCGCCGAACTTACAGCTTTTTTACTTGTTTTTTTTTTATTACAATCATGGCTGCTATACAGATTTACATTTTATTATTTTTATTGTTCGCTATAGGAATCAAGAAATCAGCCCATATCCCACACATTTGCTTTGAAAACTTTACTGACGTATTTCTATTTTTACATCAGTTAATGTCGTCTATTATATTCTTTATCTTTGTTAAGAAAAGTCTTTATCACATGGCGTCATTTATAAAATTCAAATGAAGCAATTAGAACCGTATTATATTCTTTGATATTTTAATAAGCGGATTGTTTACTATTTCTTACTAAAAATTGTCATGTTGATACTATAAAAATTTGTTTCGGACAGAAATGTTGTAAAAAAAACAATAAGGAAAAGTCGTTGCGGTTTAAGGCTTCCTCTTAATAAATTTGTGGGTACACACAGCCCACCTTCTTACAAGAATTTTGTTTGTTGAACGGCAGTAACGACATTAAGAAAAATCAATTTAATAAAAATCGAATTAAAAATTGCAATGTGTCAATAGAATGCAATTATCATTTAAGACAAGTATTGGGAAAATTATGTCACATGTCCGATTCATACCAATTATTATATATTTGAGCTATTATATTTAAAATCAAATGTCGGAAAACATTTGTTAGCAACATTTTCCAGAATAAAATGATTTGCAAACTTTGTACTCAAATGGTCACAAATTTATTCGGAAACATTTTCTTAATCTATTGCGTACATTATTACAAACAAACAGGTGTTATATGGTTATACGAAAATTCAAATAAAATATGTTTGTAAGGTAATTTTTCTAATGCTTACACTGAGGGAAAAATCCCGTTGCGAAATCAAGCACGTATGTTGTCATTTTCGCAACGACCCGTTGTTATATTTTTCAACAACGGCTGTTGGTGAATTGTGCACGAACGTGCTCAAATTGACACCGAGACGTGGTCAACTTTCGGTACCAACAACAGCCGTGCTTAATTTGTCCATTTGTAATATTGGTAATTGCAGCCGATTACACACGAGTAAAAAATGACAACGGTGGTGCATGATTCACACACGGTCGTTGTCAATATGACACCGGTCGTGTATGAATTATGCACCACCACCTGCATAATGATGCACCACCGTTGTTACTTTGTACACCGACGTGCATGAATCGTACACGATCGTTGCCATTTTAGCAACTACCGTGTATGAATCATGCACCACCGTTGTCATTTTTTTTACTCGTGTGCAATCGGCTGCATATTTACCATTTTTTCCGTGTTATTGAAAGAGAAAGGACGCATTGTGCAAAAAATTTATTGAAAATGAATAATAATTCGCAAGATCCTCAAAATATCATTGGTGAGTTGTTAGAAATCGATGGCAATATTGTTGTGGTTCGCGATACAAACCATTGCAGCAGTCAAGATGCGGAAAACAATGAGGACGATTATATGTTAAGGGAGTTCTTAAAAGGAATAAATATGGAGTCGCTTTTTGAACAATTAAAAGGTAAGTAAATAAAAATGAATTTTTCAGTTAATCAGTGTAATTAACAAAGAATTTTCTTTTTTGTTCTTTTAGCATCACATGTAACATTTCGCAGCTTGCAGTACTTGAAAAAAGAAGATTTAAAGGAAGCAGTGCCACCATTGGGACTGCGTGTTGAATTCAGAGAAAAGCTCTTTGCTTGGAAAAAACGAAAGGTACGTATTATTTGTTTTACAGAGTTGAACTCAGTATTAATATTGTCATAACAATAGCTCGGGATTGATGACGAAACTATGTCAGTTCCATCTAAAATAGGTGAATGGTGGAAACGCAACGAGACACCTGCAAGTACTCCTGGTACTCCCGACACTACAGGTTCGAACTGCTCAAAAGCCAAAGGAATTTTGTCAGAGGTAAGGTAAGAGTAATATTTGTGTAAGCATAGTTAATGTAGTTTTTTTATTTAATATAGGATCTAACGGAATTGTTAACACATACCTCGAAGGGGAAACTAGCGCTTGAATGTAGTAGCGTTAATAAGAAATTAAGTGACGAGCAAAGAGATGATATAATTAATATAATTATTGAAGATATTTTAACCAACAATGTTACTCTTTACACTCAAGACTATATGCGCATATTGGATGAAATTTGTTCCGTTTTTCCTCTTGAAAACGAAATGAGGGTAAGATTAACAATATAAACAACGTATCTGATTATGTAGTTTCTTAACTTATAATATGTCTTTATTTTTAGGATTATTATTACATTTCAAGAAAAGGAAAGAACAACGCAAGCGGAAAACTTTATGCCAAGTATAGAAACAAGAAGTCCAAAAGAATAAAGCTTTTGATTTCCGAGCCTAGCACAAGCAAAGCAGCAACTCACACATCTCCTAATTTTTGTAACAAAGATGTTCCCGAAATTGATGAATCAGTTGAAAATTCATTGAAAGCTTCCTTACTAAGAGAATGTAATGATTGGGGATCGATCTGCGAAAAATGGAAAAGATCTTTTAACATACGGCAAAGAGATATAAAAAATTTAAGTAGCCATACATTTCTCCTTGAATGGACGAAGTTGTCCGATGCAAGAGCTTCAGAATTGGTAAGTAGCCATGAGCTATTTATTTGTATATGGATACTAATGTTTCGTTTTAGGTCAACATTGATTTCGATATTATGTATCCACAGAAAGGCAATCTTCTACTTTCTAAATGGGACCAATTTAAGAAAAAAATTTACAATTATTATGGGAAAAATATTCATAACGAACATTGCAAACAACTCTTCGCAAATGTTTTGACGGCAAGCAGCATAGGTAAATTTTAATTCCTGATTTATCATAAACATTAAAAGTAATATTTATTTTATATTTCGGTTGCAGATGCTCAAGATTATATATACGCAATACTGTTGAATTCAGTTTTACCATCACCTGCTAGGTTTAAATGTGGAAACGGTAAATTACGAAAAAAAGTAACAATAGCTGATTCGCAGGAAAGTTTCGTACTGCGACTACCGACAATTAACGATTATAAAAGGCAAATTGATACAGTCACTGAAAAGTATTACAATGCTGGATTAACTATACAGCCATTTATAATTGTGGAGGGTTTGTCCGATTTCAATATAAAAGGTTTTTATGTTTTTTTAACCACAATTTGTTAAAATTTCAATCGTTCCTCGAATGTTTAGATACATGTTTTAAAATTTTTCATGCACTTTCTTTAAAATATCCAAATGCCTGCCAAATTCCATGGATTTTTATCCAAAAATATTTTTATGAAATTAATACTGTATATGATATAAAATCAGTTAATTTGACTTCACTTATTAATTTCTGCAACAATAATTAAAGTACAATTCAAAATGTATATTTGCTTTCGTTGCCGTAAGCATTTTGATAAGGCAAATCTTTTAATAGCTCATTTGAAAACAGACCATTTAATGTCCACTAAATTTTTAAAAGTACAATGCGTTCAGGACAACTGTAAGCAAACATTTACAAAATTTACGTCATTCAGAATTCATTTAGAAAAACTTCACAAGAATCACACAAAAGCTCCACCAATGGTTAAAGCCATTAATGTGCCAGTTGAAATGTCATCATCAAAAGAAAATGATTATACAAACAGTGAAACTGTTATTAACAACAATACAATAGAAAAGGATTTAAATGTTTTGAAAAAGAAAACCTTATATCTGTCTTTACAATTACATGGTCAAAGCTATATGCCTAGAAATCATGTTATAGAAATACAACATTCTGTTTCAATTCTGCTTTCATCCATTTCATGTACAATTGAAAAATATATAACTGATCATCCAAATTATGAAGACTTAAGGTACTTACTAAACTTTTGTAAAAATCCTTTCGAAGAAACTAGAACGGAATATAGACTTTTAAAAATTTTAAAAGAACTAAACTTTATGATGATCCAAAGGTTTATGTAATTAGCAATCAAGTCTCGGAAATTGTTATCAGCGGAAATCCCAGTTTAGGTCCAAAGTTATCCAATATTTATATAATGCCACTGAAATTCATGATAAGTGCCCTTTTTAAAATTCCAAATCTCTTAGATTTGACATTAGAAAACTCCAAAAAATTCCTAAATTCACCTGTTTTACAAAATTTTACAAACGGTGAGTTATATAAAACTAAATTATTAAAATATCAGTACAATTTAGTTATTCCCTATGTCCTTTACATGGATGATTTTCAAATTAATAATCCTCTTGGAACCCATACATTTTCCATATGTGGTTGTTATATTAGCTTTCCTTCAATGCCACAGCACTTGTTGTCAAAACTTGATTATATATTAACTGCTGCGTTTATACCATCAAAGGATTTAAAAGAACGTGGAAATGAAGTTTCATTTCACAATCTTGTAGAAGAGTTAAAAATTCTAGAAGAAGGGGTTGAAATTTGTGTTCAACAAAGTGTTCAGAAGGTGCATTTTATTTTAGGTGTAATTATTGGAGATAATTTAGCAGTTAATAGTATTTTAGGCTACGTGCAATCATTTAACTCTAAAAGATTTTGCCGGGTATGTAGAAGAAAAAAGTCCCAAATGCAATTCGACGCAATTCAGCATTTAGATAGTTTAAGAAACCAAGAGAATTACAACTCAAATGTATTGGAAAATAATTTTCAAGAAACAGGTATTAAAAACAAGTGTATCTTCGAATCTTTACCAAATTTTAACGTCACTGAAAATTTTTGTTTTGATATTATGCATGACATTTTCGAGGGCATATGTGTCTACGATATGTCTAATGTAATTCTCGGGCTGATTCAAGAAAATATTGTTACGTTAGATTGTATTAACAGCAGAAAATCTTTATTCCAATTTGGAGAAATTGAAGTGGGAAATAAATCTGGACCACTAGATTTATGTAGATTGAAAAACTATAACTTAAAAATGACAGCTAGTGAAACTATGTGTTTTACTAATTTTTTACCTTTAATGGTAGGCGATTTAATTCCTTTCTCCAACGATCACTGGAAAGTTTTTATAATATTATTACAAATAATCGATTTACTTTTAAGACCAAGTTATATAGAAGACGATTTAATAAAATTGGAAGAATTAATTAGAGATCACCATTCACTTTATATAACATTATACGGTTCGTTAAAACCGAAACACCACTTTCTTGTCCACTATCCCACAGCTATCCGAAAATGTGGTCCCCTTAAATATCTCTGGAGCATGAGATTCGAAGCTAAACACAAGGAAGCAAAAGCCTATTTAGGAAATACTACATCAAGAGTAAATCCCTGTCGTTCATTATCTATTAAGTCTGGATTGAAATTTTCCAATTTTTTATTAAAACACGAAGATAACTTAGAACCAAATGTTATCATTAATACGCATACCATCGAAGATTTGGCAAAAGAGGAATATTGTTACAAAAAAAGTAAGCCAGTTTTAAATTACCAAAATTGCAAAGTGTCTGATGACATTTTTTTAAGGGAACTAGGTATAAAAAAAACTATTATTTAGCAACAAATAATGCCGCAATTGAACTTTTCAAAATTAAACATTTAATAATTGAAAATGAAAATGTTTACATTTTATGTAACCAAGTAAAAGTTAAAAACTTTGATTACCATTTACAATCGTATGAAGTTGGTTCTCTGAATGAGGATACAATTTTTTTAATACCAATTTTAGATTTTATTACTTACCCATTTCACTTATATCCTATGAATAATGGAAAAGTTTATTTCAGATTTAAGTTAATTTAATTTGTTTCTATACATTGAATATATGTAATTCGAATTGTTTTGTTAAATCAAATATGTATTTATATTGAATTTATGTAATTGGTTTCGTTCAATAAAATACTTTTCAAAAAATGTCGTTTCTTCTACTAAGGGTATAAAATGGAAAAGGAACGGATATCAAAAAATGACCACCATTGATTTCAATCTGACAACGGGCGTTGACAATCCGACAACGGAGCGTTGACAATCTGACAACGAAGCGTTGACGATCTGACAACGAAGCGTTGACAATCTGACAACGGGGCGTGCTCGAAATGACCACGTATGTGCTCATTTCATGCACATCTGTTGTTGAAATCGTTGCCAAAATCTCGGTGTCAAAATGACAACAGCGTGCTCATTTTGACACCAAACGTGGTTGATACACTATCATACACGGATGTGGTCATTTCATACACGGATGTTGTCATTTTTTCTCTGGGTGTAGCTACTTTTGGTAACTACTTAAGTTACTTTTATCAAAATAATAGAAACAAAATTTGTGGATTGCTAATGCGTTTTGCGAGATATACAGTTAAGACAAAATATTGTGTTTCTAAAGAGTTACTAGCTATAGGTCCAGCAAAGATGATCTTTATTAGCTCATCACATTTCATAAACTGAGTGCCAGAATAAAAAAGGTGTATTTAAAAACAAATAAGTTAAAAAGTAATAAGTTCGGCCGGGCCGAACTTTGAATACCATCCACCATTTGGAACGAATTTGGAAATTTTCAAAAAATAAAATCCGTTAAAAATTCTGTTAAAATCTTAAAAATACCGAATATAGCCGTTATATTGGGGTCTATACGACGTAGGCATTGTTTGTTATAAGCTATTACCATATTATAAACGGGTATAATGAAGGATCTTCAAAATACCGTATATAGGGAGGTACCGTTATATCGGAGCTATACGAAGACCTGGACCCGCATAGACAATTTTCTGTCACAGGCTGTAGCATCTATTACGAACCATTACGAATACGACATCTCAAACAATTTCGGTGAGAATTGTACCTAAAATCGTCAAAATACCGAATATAGGGAGGTACTGATATATGGGGCCTATACGATGAACTGGACCAGCATAAAAAAAAATTGTGTCGCAGTCTGTATGTCCCATTACGAACTCTAAATACGTAATATGAAACTACTCCGATGAATAATGTCGCTAAAATCATCAAAATACCGAATATCGGAAGATACCATTATATGGGGGCTATATGAAAACCTAGACCTACATGACCAATTTACGAACTTAACCTGCCTACTGGCAAAATAAACATATGTGCAAAATTTTAGCCTTTTATCTCAATTCGTTCGAAAGATTACGTGATTACAACAGAAAGGCGGACAGGCAGACACACAGACGGACTTCGCTAAATCAACTTAGAATTTTAGGCTGATCAAGAATATATATACTTTGTCGGGTCTGATATGAGTATTTCGAGAAATTACAAACGGAATGACAAAGTTGATATATCCTCCATAGAATGGTGGAGGGTATAAAAATGGTATAACTGAAATGAACGTGTTTAAATTTATCCGTTAACTTAGATTTACAGTTTTTAAGCTTTGTAACATATACAAAAAAATTTTGAGTGTAATACATATGTACATATTGAATAAGAAGAAATTCAGCCTACTACTGCTTACTATCCTATCCACAGCATTAGTATTTCTTCTCCTCTTCAGTCAATTGAATAACTTTATGTTTGTCTGACATCAACTTGACAATATCAGTAGGCTGTTAAATCTAATTTATTTTCTCGCAATGGAATGGGTAAATTATGGTTTTGTTTTGAACTTTAAACTCATCTCCCTCCT